TTGTATGGGAGGCGAAGTGGGCAAACAAAAAGAGGTGTAGACAACCCACGGAATCGGTCAAGGTTATAGAGGACGTATGGAAGGGGCTCGACATCGGCGAAGGTGAAACGCTGGAAACGGAGGGTCTACAGGGGTTCAAGGAGGAGATACCTGTGGCTTGTGCCTAGAGAAAACAGAATCTAAGGAAAGGATCCAAGGATAAGGAGGGTCTAGAAGTGTACGGAATGTTAAAGGAAGGAATAGGGTTCAAGGATTACCTGCATGGACCATTGGATGCAGGAACAAAGCTCNAAAAATAGATGGAACGTACAGGGAGATGTTTGAGGCATGGAATAGAGAGGAAAGGACGGTAGCTGTACTGGGGCATAGAAGGTGGGTTGAAAAGGCGGGAAGGGATATCGTTAGGATGGACAGACTGGGGAAGATATTTTTGAGCCACCTTCGGCAAAGTAGAAAGGAACGATTGATTGGCCATCGGTGATCGGTCCTGTGGGAACAATGCTCCGTCCTCTGGAGGACGCGTGGTCAATGGTCTAACCGCTAAGGCATGCAAAACATAAGAGTGCGCCCCCCCCTTTCTACAGCTATTTTCCTGAAAACAAAAGCGTCCCTATCGGGCCACTTCTCTTCAAAAAAAAATCATTAAAAGACGATCGCACAGTGTGCCAAGACCCGCATCCTCACGGTTACGAGCCCCGTCGGCGTTTGGATGTACATAAGCAAGCAGAAGCAACTTGAAAAATCGGTGCGTCGAGGGTAGCTCCCTGCAGCATAGTCGCTGAAAAGCTCATCTTGTTCGGGGGAGAAGTAATATGCGTACGACAAAACTTGACTCCGAAAAAGGAGCGCAAAAGAGCTAGCCATGAGGCACCCAAGCTGTTCCGAGTTGGCACAGTGCGAGCCTTGTGCCCAGCCCTCTCTTCTACTATTCGCACATTCGAGTTGCACGTTGACCTGAGGAAGCACCTTGTGCGGGTGTGCGTGTCTGTTTCGCCAATAGAGAATCGTCTTCGGGGCCCTTCGGAAGCTGAACCGATTTCGAAGGTCCTGATTCGGGAAAGGGCTCCACAACCGAGGCTATGTTGGAAGATGAGACTTTCTACCAACACACCCATGAAACAGAACGGTGCGCAAATCTTTGGCATCATTTACAATCATTACACAGCAACCCTCATCAACGATACATGGGCGCGTTAGTCACCTTTCGGAAGGCCACCTTGACCTTCGTTGAACTCCCTCTGTCGCCGGGGTACTTCGCGTCCACCCAGGCATCGAACTCCTTCCAAAAGTCGACCGGATCGATAAGGTCTGGTCTCGTATTGTCTGCATCTGCTCCCGCCCCTGTATCACTCTCCGGTAATGCCTGCTGAGTGTGTGCGCTTTCCACGCCGCCACCCCCTGCCGCCGCTGCCGCCGCCAATGCCTTTTCTGCATGCGCCCTCTCTTCTTTCGTGAGCGGTTGTCGCTGTGGGTGGTCGTTTTTCCAGGGGTGCGCACGGGGGGGGGGGG